CACATGTAATGCTTTTGGGGTATTGCTCTTGCTTTGCACTGAAGTGTTTTTACCAATATATCAGCATGATTTCATAATTATTACAATAGTTGTCAGATAATAATTTAGAATTGATATTCATAAGAATATGAATGTCATTATCTTTGACGATAACTCGCTCGGAATATTTTCCTAAGTTTTTAGCTTATTCACACTAACGTCTTTCTTATAAAAAGAAGTTTACGAATGTTCTGTTAAACTCGTTATTTGACACATGATATCGATTTGAAAATCCAGAAACAATCTGGAGTTGACAAGTTTGTTCAATGTCGTCATGGGCATTTGTCCAATGACGTATTTGTGGCATCACACACATACCGAATTCTGTATTTTTACTCGTCCGCTGAGAATACCACCATTTTATAACAATAAGCTGGTATTACACATTGTTTGACACCAAAGCTCGTGCTTGAGAACAGCCAGAACTAGTTTAACTTACAAATATTGAAAACTCGCAATATCGCTGGGCTTATTCAATGACATTTCGTGTAGAGATGATAGATCACTGAGAGGTGCTTTTGCTCGTCAGATACCAGAACTATTCACTCGTTCATAAAATTGGTATTACACAGGAGCTCGTTAAGTATTCTCTGTTTCTACAGTAAATAGATACTGAGCATCCCTGTTGTTCACTGTTAATGTTAAAACGAATAATACACCGAGTCTTTATTCCGCCTCCGTCGTCAGTGCTTCCAGATAATCACATTGTCATTTGACAGACGTACATTTGGAAACCCACACTGACGCAGCCCTTCTATAAAGGACGTAACCTAGAGAAAGCTATGTATGTCAGCTGCAACGTAAGATACCTAGAGAAAGGTATGTATGTCAGCTGCAACGTAAGATACAATCACTGTTTTTTATCAGAGGACAGTGTGTGTCTTCCTCATAAAAAAGTGTATCTTTTTGGCTACATCGATTTCCTTGAAACAACATGGCTGTGCATACTGTGGTTTACAAATGAAGTCTTGTCTTAAATATGTACCACTTTTTGCATAACGGGCAGTGTGGTTCACTCGTGGTTTATTTAAAGCGTTCGCTTGTCACGCCAAAGTGAGTGAGTGAGTATGGTTTTTACGCCGCTTTTAGCAATAATCTAACCGAAAGCGACAGCCGGAGAATCCAAATGTTAAAACTCATCAAAATACCATTTAACACCCGCAAATCTGAAAACACATGTATTGACATTGAAATATACAAACGTTATCTAATTGTCCGGAGCGATCTGGAATGCTATGACGTCACGATAAATAGATGCCATTGGATAATTCGGTACATATTTTTCCATGCCGAAGATCGATTTGTTTTCAAATATTTTCAACCAATCATACTGCAGCACACACGTTTTATAGCACCACTTCGAGTGAAGTGAAATGTCTCATTCAAGATTATTACGCTTATATAGTGACAAAAGTAATAATTAATCTTGATAAGTTTAAGTTTTTAGGCAGATGTATTGTGTGTGTTTTTAAAGATAATATAAATGTTGATGATAAAATTAAAACTCTTTCACAAGATTTTGATGGAATTTGTTTCTGAACTTTCTTAATGTGACTGTTGTCATTAGTATGGCCTGGAAGCAAAATTACGTGTTTGCCCTTTAGAAAATGTGATGAAATTACAGTGAAATACCCTGACTTAATTAAAGTAGGCTTTGTTTGATAACGACGTTGTACCATCTATTAATGTCGTCATTATATTAACAAATATATCGTTAAAAGAAATGTCTCGTTAGGGCTTAATAAGCACATGAGGTAATGAAGCTTTGATACAACCAAGGTGTAGTTGGTTAAATTTGTTGATGGATATGGTTATATTGTTTGTTTTTTAAATATATTATATTTGGCACGAGATTACTCCTAAACCTATATTAATGTTTTCACAAAGTAAAATGTACATTTATGAAAATATAACGCCATCATTTTGGACAACGGTGTGAGTTTGTTATATTGTAAAAAGTAATTTGCTTTTCATCAGAGTATTTGGAAATAACTCGGTTGGTCAGTCAGAGGTATCAAATATTGTTATTGGTCAGTCAGAGGTCAACGGTATCAAATTAAAATATCTACCTGTAATTGAAGGAGCCGATTTGGCGGGCCCATCACCGTGGAAGCTAATATTCAAAGAAAAGGATACGTCTCCCTTAGTCATTGTCGGTAGGCATTTAAAGTAATTACTTGCACATATACAGGTTATAAATTTAACATTTGAAACCTCTCGCTGCACGTTCCGTTCCAAATTCAAATTAGCGCGGTTAAATCTGCAGTTTCCCTAGCCCTACATTGAAAACACAGCATGTTTATATTCCAAATATTTGGATCCACGGTACGTCACGTTTTGCCTCGTTTAATTGAATACCAGTTTTTTTTAACTGCTACAAAACAGTCTGACGTCTAATGTCATTCATCAGGTTTTTTAAAAATCACGGGTCAAACTGAAATTAAATGTTTTCATGCCATCGATTTATTCAAATTATTCACATTTGGTGACATTAATGAAATCAGAGACCATGTAAATCTATTTATGGTGTCTGATGAAATACCATTCACAATTTGTCCAATACATCCAGTTTACCATGATCGACAAACACACTCATCAGTTGTACTCTGTTGCGAAGGGGGCATGGGGGGCCCAGTCGTCTAAGGCGCCGCGATTCGCTGTGCAGAGTTGCGTCCCTTGGGCATGCCAGAAACCTATGATTGTGGGTTCGAATCCCGGTTCGCCCAGATTATGTTTCTAGGTTTGTCAGCACCATACCCGTGCTCGTGGGTTTCACCGAAGTGGTAAACGTCTGAGACCTGCATCACTTCGGGCTTTCCTCCCACAAAAAGCTGAAACGCCGCGATATAACGGGAATACTGTTAAAAGCAGCGTTAAACCCAACTCACTCACTCACTCTGTTGCGAATGAGTCGTTGTAAACTGTTAACATATTGATGTATGGCCTCGGATTGGATATCATTATTTCATTTCCATCAAAGTGACTCCCGAAGCTGTGCTTGGTGAATTCTTTGAGAAGGGCCCTGAGTGAGTGAGCTTTACCCATGAACATGGGATGAACCCTGGATTCGAACGAACGCGTATAGGGTCCACTTGCACAAAGCGATCTTAGCGCTAAGACTATTGTAAGCCTATGTTAAAGTATGGGAGTTACGATCATCTTAGCGCTAAGATCGCTTTGTGCAAGTGAGCCTAGGTTTCTAGATGCACCTAAGACGCCCATAAGATTCAGTTATTATCACGTGAAACACTCCCTTTGACCATCGGAAATGTATTGAATTATCCGTACTTCGAGATAACCAGTGTGCCGATGAACTGTCTTACCAGGCCACAATGCTACATCATCGTAAACACTATTACGTGATACAAAAGACTCGTGGTCGTTGTTTATCAGAAAATAAAACACGGCAGGCCACTGCGCCCCTCGTGGTTTATTCTCCATGCACTATGGCGTATTGCACTATAAACAACTCCCATTGGTCGTTTATTTCTTAGGGGCGGTCGGGTAGCCTAGTGGTTAAAGCGTTCGCTCGTCACGCAGAAGACCCGGGTTCGATTCCCGACATGGGTACAATGTGTGAAGCCCATTTCTGGTGTCCCCCGCCGTGATATTGCTGGAATATTGCTAAAAGCGGCGTAAAACCATACTCACTCACTCGTTTATTTCTTAATTAAAAGTGTTCGAAACAATGTGGTTGTCGAAGTGATTGTTGAATGTTTGATTCCATCATCCATCGGCGCTAACTCAACAAGCTATTAAGTGATTAATTGGAGAGGCAAGTAGCTTTATTTCTCATTGATTGATGTTATGTCGCATACCAATGTCCCACATGGTAAAATTAAACACATGGTTATGTTGTGATCAATCATCGTCTTTTGGTTTCTTCGCAAGGACACCAAGAAACACATGCACAGCTGGTGAGCGAGAGTTGGGTTAAGTTGAGCCGCTTTGAACAGTATTTAAAGTTTCAACTTTCAGGTGAGGTGAGGTGAAATTGGGTTTAACGTCGCGTCCAAGATTATTGCACTAATATAGCGACGTGCATGCATGTACGTGTGTGTGTGGCTGCTTGTACGGACTGATGCCGATTTATAGTGCTAGCTCACTGAGATACCATGCCGCAGTTTAACATGAATACCCCACTCAGACACAGTATACTGACTCCGAGCCGACCAGTCCTTGTTTTAGCCCCTTAATGCCGAGCGCCAGACAGGGTAACACCAAGTACCATCTTTTAACGTCTTTTGGTATGACGCGGTCGGGGATCGAACCCCGGACCTTCCGCTCTCCGGGTGGACGCTCTACCACTAGACCACGGAGGCGGTCCTTTCCACTTTCAGGAGAGAACTATAGTTAGTATTAATGAGAACGTACAATGAATTGCAGTGCCTGATTTAAACCAACGATCTGCAGTTGCTAATAGCCCTTCTTAGAGAGTGAGAAAGTTGGGTTGAACATTAATGTTTTATGATAACACGGCGTGTTAACTTAATGTGACAGGAAAGCCCGAAGCGATGCAGGTTTTAGACATTTACCATGCACGTGAAACCCACGTGTACGGGTATGGTGCCTAAAACCCAGAAACTTAATCTCGGCGAATCAGTATTCGATCCAACAATCATATGTTCCTGGTATGCCTAAGGGACACAACTCTGCAAAGCGTATATCCGGCACCTTAGAAGTGCCAGTCGTCCCGCAGTGGGTAAAGACAAGTACCACCAGTCTCTACACAAGACTCTACTGCTGAGAATTCCGTATAGTCACCTATAGTGGGAGTGTGGGCTGGACTGAAAGCCGCTTAAACGGTATTTTAGTCGTATGTTGAAATATCACTATGTAAGAGAAGAGCAGGTTTGTATAACCCACAAGCACGAATATGACTGACATATCCCACAAACAGCAGATTCGGGCTGTACAGAATCATACTTTTGAGTAGGCGTGACATACATAGCGAAAATCTCCCACTTTGTAGATGTTTTAAATTCCAGAATACCTTATGCCTTTCGCCATTGGGAAGTTCATATTGTTTACAACCAATGTTGCTATTGTGTCGGTGTAATGGTCGAAGTATAGTCGCCAGGATTGTGTTCAACTTCCGTTAGCGCTAGCTGATTGATCGCCAGGAAAGTGGGGTAGCCTAGTGGTCGTACGTTCGCTCGTTACGCCGAGACCCGGGTTCGACTCCTCACATCATGGGACACAGCGTGTGAAGCCAGGCCTTAAGTTGCCTCCTGCTATGATATGAACAATATTTCAACGAGGAACACATCAGCAAATGTTTGACCCCGTTGTAAAGGTGATACATTTGAGACTGCACGAGTCATTCTGAAAAATACACCTTCAAACAATCGTGTTCAGAGTCAAAGAGAGAGTCAGAACAATTGCCCAAGCTCCAGCTTCACCAGCTCGTGCAGCTGACGACACCCCGAGTAGTATTTCCAGCGGCCGCAGAATGGTGGGTTTGTCACTCCGATTAATTCTCTGCTTTGATTTCGCTTTCTTCAGTTCTGGTAGGAGTACAATGTCCTCGCACTTCTGCGTCCTTTTGTTCAACATCTTCCCCCTCTTACACACACAGATATAGCTCCTTTCTGTGTTCTGGCACATCATCCCCTTGTCACAAACCACTTTCCCCGTATAGCACTCGTCAATGTCAACACACATCTTGAAGCGAGAGTTCCACGTGAAGCCCTTCCGGTCATTGCTACAGTCACAGGTGATGTTGAACCTGTTTCGTGTCAGACTCTCAAAGTTTGAATTCTGACCCGGTGTCCAAGAGCACTTCTTGTTTTTGAGGGAGCGACACGGATTTCCGTTATCATGCCATTGTTTAAAGAAGGTGACAACGTTGCCCTGACTCTGGCGTCCAAAACAAGGATTTGGACAATAATAGATTTGGGAGCACTGATACTCAACGTCATCCTTCCTCCAGTCGTTTACATGCACGCCCGATTTCCTTGCCTCCCTCGTCTTCTCAAACCCATCCAGGCATTTTCCTGGCATGTGTATCGTCCTCATCATAGCATTGCGTTGCAGAGTGTACATACACAAGAAATAGCTCGCCGTTGTTCTGTATTGAAACAAGTCCAGCTTGTTATAGAAGGGAAGGTAGATGTTGGATCCGGGTTTTCTTTTAGCGTTAAATTTCTCTACTTTGGAATGAATTTCCTGAAGACATCTGAACGCCCCTAGTCGACAGGCTTTTGAGGCAACGTCATGTAACCGCCGTAGTCGTGGAATAGGGAAGTGGCGGAAATAGGATCTTTCTTCCAAGAGTTCTCTCCCTTTGTACCTCGAATCCTTGGCGAGGTATTTATGAGCGGCCATGAAGAGTCCAACTTTCTTCAAGACTGGACTGTATTCTTTGAGCGCTTCGTCGAATTCGGCATCTCTTACTGCTCGGTGTCGAGTCAATATCGACGCTAGATGATCGTACTTCGTGACGTTCAAACACTCAGCCTGGAGGTTATACACTAAAGAAATGAGAAGTATGGAGAAACATATCCTCATGCGCATTTCAAATATTGTAAAGCCTACTAGGCATCAAAAGGCTATTCACGCCTTCAGCCACGCTACCATACTATAACACGCCTAACGTTATTCTATGACGTCATAACAAATATGACGTCATTCTGACGTCACAAAAAGGTTCGCGCAAACATGACTCGGCTCACTCCCAAAAACGATCTCGGCCAACACTGGCATGACTTTCGTATTGTCCTAGTTCGCACTAGAAGAAGAAGGGGGAGGAGGAGGAGGAGAAGAAGAAGAATTGTAATTGTACGAACACCCTCTACAAAGTCTATAGCATCAAGTAATACATGAAAATATATATGTAAAACATTAAGCAATATAGAATATATTGAAGTATCATACAGTTTTGAAATAATTTATGGTGTATTCAGGAGGAAGGGTAAGCCTGTCTTTTCATAAACAATTGAGATGTATATATTTTAGATGATAGTAGAATATTTGAATGTACGATTTACTATAATTATTAACCTTTTCAACGAGACTGTTGTTGCACTCCTTTGTGTGAATTATTAATATATGGTGCAGGTGCCCGAATGTCTCATTATTATTCTGCTTGTTCCTGAAAATGCTCTTTCAGTGGCTAATAAGCTCGGGGTTTATAAAAAAATATGGAGATGAGTTGGTTTTTTGCTTTTTGTCCAATGTGTCAACTTCAAAGGTCAAAATCGCCCCTTTCCTAAACCTGCCAGACCCGTGAAGATAGGGGTAGAATAGGTCTTCAGCAACCCATACTTGCCGTAAAAGGCGACTGTGCTTGTAGTAATAGGCGACTAACGGGATCGGGTGGTCAGGCTCGCTGACTTGGTTGATGCATGTCATTGATCCCAACTGCGTGGATCGATGCTCATGATATTAATCACTGGATTGTCTGGTCCAGACTCGATTTTTTACAGACCACCGTCATATAGCTGGAATATTGCTGAGTGCGGCGTTAAACTACAAACAAGCAAACCAACTATCGAGGGTGGGGAACTGCATCTGTCTTTCCGTGTTGTATAGGGGTTAGTATAACACAAAGTGTGCTTCATCCTCATCCTCACCAGATGTGCATTATTTACAATAGATTTCTTCTGTATCTTTCTTCTGATTTTATTTTTATTTTATTTTTTTGGTACCACCTCTCTCGATTTCCAACAGATGACAACTGTGTCCTACCCCTGTCATAGCGTGCCGGTGCTGGTTGTGGGAAACACAAAAGAGGTCGGTTATCTGTCGAAAGTATCCCCGATAAAACCCAGAAAACGTAACTTGTGATGGTGAACAGAACTTACTTGATTACATGGTCTAGCTTCCAGGAATAGCAATTCAAAATTTGATTTCAGTTTTTTTGAAAGCGGTAGAGCTTTACATTACACATCACAGCCTGTTAACAACACAACACAACGAAGATGGCTGTTGAAATTGTTTGCGCTTTGAATTCTTTTCAAATCAATGCGTAAACTTAATTTCTGTTCAGCACAGCATGACAGCACGGTTTTACAGCGAATTCCAAGATCTTCCCAGCGATAGCCCGTCCACAGCAAGGGGCGGTCGGGTAGCCTAGTGGTTAGAGCGTTCGCTCGTCACGCCGATGACCCGGGTTCGATTCCCGACATGGGGACAATGTGTGAAGCCCATTTCTGGTGTCCCCCGCCGTGATATTGCTGGGATATTGCTAAAGGCGGCGTAAATCCATACTCACTCATTCCCGTTCACAGCAAGCTCCTCACAGCGACAGCCCGTTCAGAGCTCTTCACTGAGATAGG